AAAAAAAAAAAAAAAAATCTTCCAGCTGCCACTGAACCCGTGGCAACCTGAGTCTATTTAATTTGTAGCCCACTCGTGGTAAAAAGGAAAATACGTCTGCCAGAATCCAACACCCAAGTGAGGCAGAAAATGAAAACAGCTCATGAAAGGGAACATATTCTAATAAGGCCCTCCAAATCATGACAGGCGATTTTTTTCCTGTGGTTAACAGCTAAAAAAAAAGGTTAATGCTTATGCAAACCTTCTTTCGAATATAGCCAAACATGCACAGTGCTATCCATAACACGTCGGTGGACTTGTTTATCTGAAGTTTATGCTTTCTAGAACTGAGTCTTTGCTACAAAGCTTTAAGAGGCAGACAGGTTTAAAGCATTAACAGCACACCTGAGGGCATTGTTAATACTGATTAATTAACCAGCGAATAAATGAGTAAGAAGGTCAGGACAACAGAAAGTTTGATATCCAGGCCCTCCAGCCAGGGAGTTATCACCCCTCAAGAGGCGGCAGGCTTTGTGGCAGAGGAGAAGTGGGGTGTCTTACAGGTGGCACTGAACTGACAAGAGTGTGTAGTGAAAAAGTGCTTTGTCATTCACATGAAGCCTGGGTAATGAAATGAATTCACTTTCTGGCTTCCTCTTGTGTGCGATGCCAAAGAACACTGTGTTATCAGCACAGATGGGGCGGCCATGCTTCTGGAGGAGGGCCTGGTGAGGAACTACAGACAAGCCACCGTGAATACCAATGAGTCCCTGAGACTCAGACCCTTGCAGTCAAATGACAATCGTGGAGGCTCCATAAAAGTGAGCCAGTCCCAGTGGTCTTTTCCAATCAGTGGCACTGTCAAGATTCTGGACAGGCAATTTGGAAGTCATGTAATTCACAGAGGCCCGGCTGCCACTGTGCCGTGGGAAACAAGCAGTGGAAGGCATTCGCCCACGAACCAGCCCATGGGCCTCATTCTTTTTTCCTTTACCTCTAAATAAATAACAGCAATCTAAATAACTGATAATCTAAACTGGTGCAAATACTCATCTGAGTCAACTGTCTCTGCTCAGAAGACAGTTCATCTAAATAGAAGAAAAGAATGGATTCACCAGTAGGATGTACATTACTATGAAATATTCAACTGTGAAATCAATGAACATAAACAAATCATGGAAAAATGATTAGAAAAGAGGCATACCCATCAACATACTCAGAAGTCTCTGGACCTTTGAACTCACCCCCACAACTCTGTACAATCCTTGGTCATTTATACCTATTGGAAGAGACACAATGTTAGCGACGTACAAGACTATCATATTTTAGAAGTTGTCATCACTAAACAGTTGCATGAGAATCTTTGCTAACTCACATCAGCAGCATTCCTGTGGAAAACAAAAATAAAATTTGACAAAAACAAGTTTACCAACTTTTTTTTACCAGCTTTGTGTTCAGGAGTTGTGGTTGGAAAATAAACTCAGAAAATAATGTTCTGTGTAGACAAAATTATAATCCATCAATGGTAAAAAGTAAAGCATCAAGGATACGTTAAAATGCATCCCAATTCAATTTGTAAAGATCCACTGGAGGGTTTTCATATTGTTGTTCACTTGCTTATATTTTTCTTGGATCATTTTAACCTTTCAAAATTAATATGGTGATTACTACATGAAAAGCAACCGTTGTTGGATGATTCCTGAAGATCTGGAAATTCAGACAAAAATAAAGCAGAACCATACTTTTTTTTAAAAAAAGTTACCACATTCCCTGTCCAAGTGGGTATCAACACCAAGTTTACAGCAAAATAAACCCACTCCTTGGATCCTCTCTCTGTCCTTGAGCTCTCAGTCAGAGGCAAGAAAAGAGGTTGTCAAACATAACTTAGGATACTGAAAAACTGCCCTTATTTGGATTCTGATCTGAGCAAACCTATTGTGAGTGACTTTTTTTTTTTAAGCAATTGGGAAAGCGTGAGGGGCATGAAGTTTATGCAGGAAAAATGCCTGTTTAAAGTTGTGTCCTGAAAGGGGATACAATCCATCCTAGATTTGCTCTGAGAAGAAAGGGCCAGATGTAGCAACCGTGGCCCAAGCTCTAATAAGTGCTGAATCTGGGTGATGAGAATATGGGTGCTCACTCTATCAATCTCTCTACTGATTTATCCCTGAAAAATGGCATGCTAGCCTGGCTTCCGAAAAAATGTGACTTCCTCCAAAGAGTTACAGTTTTCTGGCTGACACAAAAGAAAAAGGTCATGGAACTTGACCTGGAGATTTTACTTTCTTTTCATCTCCTCACCTGGGGTAAGATAAGAATACAGAGATTACAATGATACAGACAACAGCCCGCTCAGACACGTGAGCCACAGGTTCACCATCACTAGTCTAAGGACTGTGTTCGAGTCTAGCTTGCTGCACTTTCGAGCACGTCGGGGAACCTGGTCCATAAGCTACCTACGTCTAATATCAAGGGCAACATCTTACACAATATGCTGGGAGGGGAGCGAGATGATTCCCACGCCAATGTTCTGTAAATTCCAGTGATCTGCACAAGCATACATTTTCATTATTCCGTGCTAAACTCAGTCTTTGTCTTTTATCTACTCCTGACTCATTTTCTGAGCTTCAGATGTCCTAATTTTCCTTTGCTGAGGGGCCAACTTCTGACCCCTCAAAGTCTGGGTGCTAAAATTCTACCCTCCAGTATCTCAGAATGTGACTGTAAGTCAAGATAAGGTCTTTTACAAAGGTAATTAATACGAGATCATTAGGATGGTCCTTAAAATTCAACTGGCACCCTTACGAGAGGACACTCAGACAGGGACAGTGACAGAAAGAAGACCACACTGGAAGGACACACAACAATGAGAGAATCCTCAAAAGAAATCAACCTTGCAAAAGTTTATGTTGGACTGCCAGAGCCCCTCAGGTACTTTGTTACAGCAGCCGCAGAGACTGATACCAGTGCCTCTCAATGATCTCACTGGAGCTCAGAGGAGTGGACAAGGGCGGGGTCCGGCCAGCATGAGTCTGCTCGTAGCACTGTAGGACCCAGCGGCAGAGACGCACCTCCTGAAGGACACACACAACGGCCACAGAGACAGGCAAAGGGCAGCACGGTTCCGCTAGGAGTTGGAAAAAGACAAGCAAACTCTTGGCCGAGAGACCAAACTCTCGAGCCTGCTACGGGAGCGAGAGCAAGCCTCTTCCGGGAGCTGGAGAGCATGTCCGCTTTGTTTAAAATACCAGAGGACTGGTTCAGTACAACTCTATGTAACAAGTTTGACCTCGGTGCCAGAAGCCAAAAGAGCAAGTCATATTCTCTGGTCAAAAATGTGCCTTTGTGAAAAGTACTTGAAAAATATGGTGAGATGAAATACGAATGTTACTTCAGTGATGATAATCACTCTGCTGGTAATTACTATCAGATAATTGATCAAGTTCAAATTCATCAACCCGAAAGAAGTAAAGTTAATTGCTAATGCATAATGAAAGGTACAAGGTGGAATTAAAGCTGCTTGACACAGTTTCTCTTTTTTGTTTTTAAGGAAATTTAAATAAATCTCCTACAAAAGCTGCTTGGAAGTGGCATATAAAATAAGTCTCATAGGATTTTTGCTTCTTATACTGTTTTTAAAGGCTCTCAACTAACAAAATAAGAATAGGAACATGCATCAGATCTAGGAACGCAGATGCGTTCATACAAAAGTATCAATTACAGTGAAGAACATAAATCCACCAATTCCAGGCGTAGTAGTGGGTTTATCCCATCCTTTCAGCTTTCCAAACTTTCTTCTTGCAGCCAAAGCATCACTAGTTTGTAGTCACCAGGTGTTCACACTGCTAAATTAGCTTTGACTTTTTCCCTACCACTTGCCAAATTCAAGGGATTAAGGTCCCCTCTTTCCTTAAAAGCTACAGCCTCATCTCTGCCTCTTCAACACAGGCGTGAGCTTTATGCTCGAGCGTTAAGGAATCCCTGCCAAGAAACTCACGGACAACCATAATCCACTCCCAACGTCATCTTCTTTTCTTCTTCCTATCTTTTTGTTGTTCACATCACTTTTACCACTGACGGTCCTCCACAAGCCCCACTTTAAAAAGGAAGGACAATTCCGATCAGGTTACTTTCCCCAGCCTAACAAGCGCATCAGGCTAAAACACACAAGCACTGACCACAGGCTCCACTCCGTCTACTCTTCTCCTACCAGAGTATTCGCCTGAGTGAGGGCAGACTACGGTCACCCCCCAAGCACCAGGTCTCCACCCTCCCTCATGACTGAGTCAGGCTGAAGTCTCCCCCGACAGGGACGCCCCACCCCTGGTTTTCACAAATTTACTCTCATCTGTCCCAAGTGCTTATTCATCAAATAGCTGCAACATGCGATTCTAGCTGCCCAAGAGTCAGCAAGGAGTAAGTACAGTTCCAGAGAACCCTTCAAAACCAGGGGAAATCCTACCTTTTCTGACATCCGCCCACAGCTATGTTTTCTTTCTCTGAATGTAACTCAATTAATTCCTTTTAATTCAATATTTAAGCCCATAATCTTAGTTACAATTCCAAACATCAAAAGTCTGAATGCTTCACCTGACATCGTTGTCTATATTTCCCACTCAGTGAGAATGTTCAAATTTCACAAAGTTAAAAGCAATTTCCACAGTAAATCTATGTGAACACATATATTCTGTGATGTCTACATCCCATCGTACCTTTAAATTTTTGTTTTAAAATTTCCAAAACACATCAAGCTGTAGTATTTTTAAATAAACAACGGAGAACCTACGTCCTGCCCTCTCACCCCAACCCCAACGCATAGATATATAACCTGGAAAGAAACTAGGCCAACCCAGTATCAAAACCAACGTTTTTTTCCTTTGGTACTTGGGATTGGACTCAGGACCTTGTGCATGCAAGCGGGTGGTAGAACATCTGAGCCAAAGCCCCTGCCTAACTTTCTTTGCTTTTGTTTCTCTTGTAGGTTGCATACAGTAGATAAGAGGCAAAACAGTTACGCCTGCAGCGACTTAGCTTGAAATTGGTAAGTTTAGCTCTCCTGTGTATATATGTGCGTTCTTTCTATAATCTGTATATAATTTGTATAAAATGTGTATCATATGTGTACATTATGTATCTATAGATCTAGAAAAATGACTTTCTAGTCACCCAGTGTTAGAATTGTGAAATTTGTGTTTGCTTTTTCCCATCATTTTCCAAATCCAATGGATATATATGACCACAATTCCATATATGACCATGTATATATTCCACATGTGACCAAAATGAAAATCAACTCTGAATTGAAATTCAAAATATCCAAGCAACTTTTTCAGGATATAAAAATGGGGTATCAGCAATGGATATCCTTCATAAAATACTTTCTGATTTTTCACAAAAACGAGTCATTTTGTCAAGGTGTTTGCAGGCCTAAATGTTTTTTTCTTTTACTAAGTGAGACCGATTCTGATGGGCAGTGAAAGTAAGTTGATCCGCTCCCAGGAAGGGGCAGCTGATGACAGCTGTCCCCGGTGAAGTGGATAAGGAAAAATCAAATGTGTCTCACTTCCTACTCTTGTCTCCTCCAATCTGCCACAGTGCTGTCCCTGAGGGAAACCCACGGCCCCGCGAGGAGAGGGTCAGAAAGTGGGAATGAGTCAAGTTTCATTATCATCATCTCTGCCCGTGTGCTTGCTTCTCAAAACCCAAAAGATGTCAGCTGAGCCAGAGTCCTTTTGGCTCCGGGGGACACCCACAGGACCACGGAGCTGGGCTGGAGACAGGCGAGGAAGGAAGGTAGTCAGGCCACTGGTGGGGAAACCACCTCGCATGCCACAGCGGGCTGTTTGCATCACTGAAAGCTCTAAAAGCTTCACCATTACTACCCTAGGGGGGTAAGGAATTATTGTAAGGACTGGGGAGGCAAAAGGAAAGAAAGGTTTAAGAGTCTTCATCTGTGTTCTGTGTTCTGTATTCGTCAGGGTTCTGCTGCTCTAACGGAGTACCTCAGACTGAGACACTGATAGTGAACAGAAACTTATTTGGCTTATGGTTCTAGAGGCTGGAAAATCCAAGATCCAAGAGCTGCATCTGGTGAGGGGCTTCTTGCTGTCTTCCACGGGAGGAGGGAGGAGGGAGGAGGAAAGAGAAAAGGGGGAAGGATGGAACTTATCCTTTTATTGGGATAAAATACAATAAAAAAGCCGCTCCACAGGCAACATTAAGCCACGCATGATGGCAGAGCCTTCATGACCTGATTGCCTCTTGGCCTTATGGACTGGG